AGGGTGCTGGACTGCTGAGGTGTTCTTCCCACCACAGGTATGTTAAATGTTGTTATATTATGGTCACTATTCCCAAGCGGTCCTGTAACGGTTATTTCCTGGCCCTGATCCTGCTCTCCACTCAGGACTAAATGGAGAATTGCCTCTCCCCTTGTGGGTTCCTGCACCAGCTGCTCCAAGAAGCAGTCATTTAAGCCATTGAGAAATTTTATCTCCGCTTCTCTTCCTGAGGTGACAAGTATCCAGTCAATATGGGGGCAATTAAAATCCCCCATTATTATAGAGTTCTCTATTTTGGTAGCCTCTCTAATCTCCCTCAGCATTTCTATGTCAGGATCTGCTTCTCTTCCTGAGGTGACATGTATCCAGTCAATATGGGGATAATTGAAATCCCCTATTATTATAGAGTTTTTTATTTTGGTAGCCTCTCTAATCTCCCTCAGCATTTCTATGTCAGTATCGCTGTCCTGGTCAGGTGGTCGGTAATATATCCCTACTGCTAATTTCTTATTATTGGAGCATGGAATTATTATCCATAGCGATTCTATGGAACATGTTGATTCACTTAATATTTTTATTTCATTTGATTCTACATTATCTTTCACATACAGTGCCACTCCGCCACCCACCCGGCCTGCTCTATCCTTTCTATATATTTTATATCCCGGTATGATTGTGTCCCACAGATTTTCCTCATTCCACCAGGTTTCAGTGATGCCTATTATGTCTATCTCCTCATTTAATACGAGGTACTCTAGTTCACCCATCTTATTAGTCAGACTCCTAGCATTTGTGTACAAGCACTTTAAAAATTTGCCACTGGTTATTTGTCTGCCCTTCCCTGATGCATTGGATTCCCTGCGCAGACCGAGCCCCCAATCCCAGGCAGCTGGGCCACCACCGGGAAGGACTCCAGGGGCCGGCCCAGCAGGGAAATGGGCCGTTGCGGCGGAGCGTCCGCCCTGAGCACGAGCCCCGGCAACTCTCCGGGAAGTCACACTGGGCAGCGGGAGCCCCGGCACAGACTGCTCAGCTCCCGCATGCCTGTTGTGGGGCGCAGGCGGCCATGCTCTCTCCAGCCTCGTGCTGCAGCTGCAGGGCACGGCGCAGGCAGACTGCCCAGGGGCGGGGTGCGCAACCGGGCCGGCACACGTAGGGAATCAGCCATTGCTCTTGGAGCAAATGGCGGCCGACCAAATGCCCACCCCACCCAGAGGGCCGTAGACACGGAGCTGTCAAGGGGCTTTCCAATCCCACAAGGCAGCTCGGAGCGATGGCAGAGAGAAAGGGGCCGAGCGACTCCCAGGAGCACAAGCGCCACTCCAGACCCCTCTTCGGTCTGGGAGCTCCGCCGGGGCCACCCAGCCCCATACGCCCCTGCAAAGTCCCAGCTCGGAGCAGCTTTCCAGCCAAGAGCTGGAGACTGTACGACGCCACCCACAATCTCAGGGCTGGTCCCAAGATCTGCCATGCTGCACACATGCACTTCACCCACGGCCAGGCCGGCCGACTGTGTCCAGCCTGTGGGGAGGGGGGCAGCGCGGGGCCAGGCCAGCTGACTGCGTCCAGCCCGCGGGGAGGGGGGCAGCGTGGCTGTCAGCACAGGAGGGGCTCCCCCCCAAACCTCCGCCGGCCCTCAGCCCCTGCATCCCAGATCACCATGGGAGGGGGCTGCCGTGGCCATAGCAGCGCACTGCAGAAACCACCTGTTAGGAGAGGTAGGTCTTCCGTGGACAGAGCTCACACCCATTGTGTGGCGGGGCTACAAGCTGTGCCCTGCAGGGAGACCACGTGCTGTGGTGGGACCATGCGAGGGGAGGACCAAGGGGCTGCCCTGGCTGACAGGAACGAGCTGATATGCCTGGGCAAACCGTCAGCGCTGGGGCCAGGCCCGGTGCCTGACGCGGGATGTGACCCATGCTGAGACGTGTGCAGACGGGCCTGGGACCCTCCATTCCTCCGCTGGCGCGAGCAGGGACTCCAGGGGCTGCCAAAGGGCTTTGTGTGCGCTGGAAAAGGCCAGGGCACCTGACAGCAAAAGAGGGAACCAGTCTGCACCCCTGAGCCAGGTCAGGGCTAGGGCAGAGGTGGGGGTGCGGGGACGGAGGGGAGGGATGGGGGTTGGGGTGCAGGAGGGGCTCA